GGCCGCTGGAGATACCCTGCGCACTCTTGTTACACGTGGAGACCTGGGCAGGTGACAGTGAGGGGGTGAGGAAGGCGCTTCACACGGGGACCTGGAGCACAGGGAGGCCGGCTGGAGCCCACAGATCTGTACTCCTTTCCTCCCCGGAGCACGGGAAACAGATGTGAACAGGTTTCAGGGTGGACACCACATTCCCAGGGCTGCGTGGGCTTCCGTGCATGCACACACTTGGTTCTCGCTGCAGCGCGACAGGTAGGTGCCATGATGACCCAGGTGTGGAAACAGACACTGGGCCTAGCAGCCTACCCAGGGCCACACGGGGCTAAGTGGCAGAGCTGGGATTCCAAGCAGACTGACCCCAAAGCCCACGGCGTCAGCAATGCACTGTGACTGGGTTACGCTCGGCCTGGCGCTTGGTACAGCGTGGCTGAGGTTCTGTCCCCAGAAAAACTGCCCAGCAGCTTTGGTAGGGCAGCCTTCAGCTAAAGGCACACTTCGTAGACTCCAGGAGCCCCCAAGCACCCCTGACCCACATCTTTCCCATCCTAAAGCCTGGAGCCCATCCTGGTGCCCCAGGCAAAAGTCAGCAGAAGGTCGAAGTGGAGGGGACCCGGCGGACGACGGGAGCTGAGCCATCCACACAGCTGGTCGAGGCAGAATGTGGCCCTCACAACTTTGCTGGTCCCCTTTTGACCCAAAGATGCCACATCCAAGTAAGTAGGTGTCCTACTGCAGCATCACTGTGGGGACCAGGGACAAGGTAGCACAAAGCCAGATGTCAGTCAGGGAACCTCCTGGGCTGTCTGGGGTCTCCAAAGAGGCCCTGAAAGATCTGAACACAGCTCTTCCCCTGGCCAGGTAGGGCAGGGTCCCACCGACCCTTTGGTCCCCTGTGTCAGCAGCTGCAAAGAGAGGCCAGACCAGGTGTAGCCCTGACAGAGAAAAGAAGGTCCCCACAGCCACCTCTTAGCAGAGCTCCTGACAAGGCCTGCAGCGGTCTTTGCTAGGGATCAAGAACAGGACTTTGGAGTGGGCTGGACTTGGGTCAGAATCCCAGTCCTGCCACTTCCAGGCTGTGTGCCTCAGTAGAACAGAAAAACAATAATCCCTACCTCCATTTATAGGGTTAACACACAATCGAGGCTGGCAGCTACTGTTTGTAACTAGGTTTTATTCTTGCGCGTTCTAGGGTGCATACAGACACAAATGTTCCGTGAACACAATCTATACAATTCATCTGCACAGAGGGACCTAGGCATCGATCACCTCCTAACCACACAGCCAAACTCGCACTGCCAACATGGACCCCACAGAGCACCACCGCGTCACCCCATACCTGGCACTGCCGGAACTGAATCCTCACTACAGCCTGGGAGGCGAACAGGCTCTACTCCCTCCTTCCGGGCAGGACACAGTCCACGCAGCAGGGCCCACTGCCTCCGGGCACACCGACACCTCTGGCTCCAGGAACCTGAACTCCAGCCCTGGCCCGGCCAGGGGAGGCCAACCCGGTGCCCACTGTCACCTCTGCGGCAGCCCCCGCAGGCCCCAAGCGCCAACTGCCCTCCATCCCCAGGACAAAGGCCCAACCTGGCCTTCGCGACAGCTGCTTTGGGGAAACCCCTGCTGCCTACAGAAACCAGTTGACTTTGAAAAGGAAGAGATAGAAGCTGGGGTGGCTGGGCCACTCCCTTAGGGGCAGGTGCTAAGTAACTATAAACTCCGGCTAATAATGCAACTAGGGTCATAAAGCAAGGCCCAGGAGGGACCAGGGCCAGAAGCGAGACCCTCCAGGGGCAGCCAGGCCCAGGCTTCCTGGAAACAGGCTGAGGGGTGGGAGGCCATCTGCCCTCCAAAGCAGGACTCAGGGCTCGCCTGAGCTGTCCCCAGTCCCATTCCCGGACCCCTCCCATGGGACCTGAACCAAAACTCAGCTCTGCAATCGACTCCAATTCACAGGACAGGTCTGGTTAGGGACAAAACAGATGGCAGCTGTCAACAGGCCGTATACACCAGGCAGAGCTGGCTGCCCTCGGAGAAGCAGCATGTACACACACACCCCAAACAGCTGCCCTGCCCCCGGGTCCCCCCTCTCCTGCCCTAGCAGGATAGGGGAGGCAGAAAGAAGGCACCCAGTGGGTTGCTAGCTTCCCCAGGGGTGGGGAGACTGAGGCATGGGAGCCCTGGACTACCAGGCAGCCCACCATCCCCTTTCACGCCTTTCTGGGCCAGCAGCCCCGGCTGGCTGTCACTCCGCAGACAGCTGCCCCAGGGCAGGGCCCGGGGGTGCATATGGCCCTGACCCTGAGCCTGTCTCCAGGGACCGGGTCAAGGAGCCGCGCTGGAGGAAACCAGGATCTGCCCCTCCTCACCCGACGACTCGACAGTGTGGGGCCTGGGTTGGTGGAATCTGGCCGGGCGGGTGCAGGGGCCCGGGGCCACGAGCCAGAGGCCTTGTCCCGGGCTGGATCGAGCACCCTCTCCGGAGCGGGAGCCGGCGGTCATGAGCCGACACTTCCCGGGCAGCGAGCGCCACGCCGGAGCGCAGCGCTCAAGTTTAGTCCAGAAACTGTCCGCGCGGAACCAAGCCCGGCGCAGACCGGCGCGTGCAAGAGAATGTCATCTACATCTTGGCTGCTCGCCCCAACAGTGCAGCCATTCACCTGAAGCCCCCAGGATAGTGTGGAACAGCGACTCTTGGTTTGGGACAGTGGCATCCTTTCCCTCTTTTCCTTTCTTCCTTTCCCCCACCAACTTCTGGCACTGAGACTCGTGGGATTGGGGTACTGCCGGCATCTTAATTTATCATTAAGCATATGGCACTGAAATCACCATTCCCTGTATAGCAGAGGCAGTAAATGCACTGCCACAGGGAGAAGCCCCTGAGGGCTGTGGCAGCACACCCACTCCTGGACCAAACCCTACCCTCACATCAGAGACCAAACCTGCCACCACACATCTTGTTGTCCATGCCTTTAGAAGCCTGGTTCTTTTTAGTTGAAAAGGACCAAAGTCCCTTTGTGAAAAAAATCCCCAGACATAGATAAGATGGGCTCTACTCAACTCTTCTGTTGCCCATTTCTGATTTCCAATAGACAAAACTCTGATTGATTCTTAAAAAGGAAGTATATCAGACTCACATTCCCTCCTGGAAATGCTGAGAAGGCCCTTCTGCCCACACTGAAAGCCTCTTCAGCAGTGAGCTACTATTACTAGTGGAAATTTACTATATTCCTTGGGTGTGTGGGGGTGGGAAAATATTGAAAATCACCACTGCAGTCTCATCTGCTATTTATTTAAATTTTAATACCCTATGACAGAGACAGAAGCTAGTTTATGACATACTGACCAGAAAAGGGGGAGGCAGCCTGTTCCAGAGACCCAGAAGTCTAGGAACCTTTCAGCCAAGTCATCCAAGTCCATAGGTCTTGAGTGAAGTAGTTAAAAACAAGGTTGAACCTTCCTGGTCCATTTTCAGATGGTAGCTCATTGCCCAAAGAACCTGAATGGAATAAACATGTTGGCAGGAGTCCCAGCCCTCTGTATAAGACTTCACCCCAGTCAATACCACAAAGACCAATGAGGATAAGGTCTACATGGAAGAGGAGAGGGGAGAACTTGTGTTTTTCCATCATTCCAGGTCAACCATAGACCTAGAAAAGTGTGCTACTGTGTGGAGAATGCATCCAGCTTCCATAGCTAGGGAAGTGTAGTCCTTGTCGTGAGCTAAGCACGCCGGGAGTTGTAGTATTTGACTTAAATTCTGTTCCACCTCTGCCCTTTCACATGTCTTCTCTCCTCTCATTCAGTGACGTCCTGAACCAGGATTCTGTTACCTCCTGTGGCCTATCTGATCCCCAAGGAGGGACTGGTATGCCTCAGGCTGTTTTTCCAGCAATGAATGAGGAATGAAGTAAAGTCCCATTGATGTACTGTTGCTACAAAACCGCTCCATGGCAAACCCGTTTCTCCCCTGGTTTGAAGAGAGGTGCGGTACCCGGATCTTGCCCTTTCTCACTCTCTGCCCTTGGGTATAAGGGCTCAGACTGTGAAGTATGAGTGCCGATGGAACATCCCCCCAGCACAGGCCCAGCTGTGGGGTCTTCCTTCACACACCCTCATCAGGCAGAGCTAACTGGTGCTCTGTCGCCATGTTGCTGGTCGGAGTTTTGCTGATCTCCTTTTGTGTCACCTTCCCCTGTTGGAAGTTAAGGGTGCTAAACCATCATCTTCACTTTCTGTTCCCTCCTGTTTATCTTCCCCGTCCCCCTCCCCCTCTTGGTCTTCCTCCTTTTCCCCCACCACGTTGCCCGTGGTTTCTGAGGCTTTACTAGGCAGCTCCTAAGGAGAACCACAGCAGGACTCTTGCTGAGTTGGTTAGAGCAAGAGAGTTCCACATGAATGCAAATAGCTCCCTCCCTCTCTCTCTCTCTCTCTCTCTCTCTCTCTCTCTCTCTCTCTCTTGTCCATAGCTAGGGCCACACCTCCTCCAAATACAAGTGCTAGGACTTCAGGGTGTCTGGGTCAAATTGCAATCAGCCTGCCTCAGCCCCAGTCTTCTAAAGCCCTCCTGGAAATCGATTCTAGCAACATCTTTCCTCCTCAAGGACCCTTAGACTGTGCCAAGCACACATGGGCACATAGTATTCTTCAGCAAATTCTAGCCAAAACTGATTAATACCGGGGAAATGGACTCCTAGATCTGGGGTGCACCCGGCCCCAGTCACACTACGAGTGGACACACGTGTGGTCCTGATAGAGTCTGGAGGAGTCTGGTAGAGCTTTTCAGTTAGACAGGGTCACTTCTCCACCACCTGCGCCATTGCCCCGTCTTCCCTTTCCAGAGGGAGGCTGGGAGCACTCGCCAAGCTCCGAGGGGTACAGGGCCTTCTCCCATGTTGTGCCCATTTCGCCCTGACCCTGGTTGTCCTTCTCCCTGAGACCAAGGTACCTTCCAGCCCCCAGCTCCCCTCCAAAAACAGCATGCTGGTCAATGTGGAGAACTATTTATTATTAGAGAAACTGCAGGGTCCAGGAAAGGGAGGCTGAACCCAGGAAGGGAAGCACAGAGAACTCTGCACAAGCTGGGTGCCCAAGGAGGAAAGGGGCCGGGGGCCAGGCGGGCGTCTAGGCGGCAGGGGCGAAGCCCACCCTGTTGTTGGTTATGTCGAAGACAGAGTAGTAGGACCTCAGGAAGACGTCCCCAAGGATCCAGAGGGGCTGGCCACTCTCCGAGTACAGGTAGGTAGTGTCCAGCCCCACGAAGCAGTAATGGTCCTCCTGTTCAACAGAAAGGCCGCTCGTGGTCGGTCACTGGCTGCCCTATTTGTCCCACAGGAACAGGCAGCTGCAGTGGCCCTCAGTCACCCCCCACCCCGAACCTTCTCTTCCCATGGGTCCCCTCCTGCTCCTCCTCTCCAGAGGTTCAGCCTAATGGTTAAGCTTGGAACCAGACACTTCGACTTGTGTCTGTTTGGCTCAGTTAGTTAACATCCCTGAGCGCCCCGGATTTCACCTGCACCCTCCTTCTGCCCCTGGCTGGTGGTTCAGCCCGCAAGGACCAGGACTTACTTTGATGATGTAGGCCGAGGGCAGCAGAGGGAACTTCACGCCACTGAGGATGAAGTTCAGAGTGGGGAGGCTCTGGACGCTGTCACAGTCCACTACGTACTGAGGGGAGAAATAGGCCCAGGTTACTTCACAGACCCCCAGAGAGCACCCACCAAGCTCAGTGCAGCACCCAGCCCCGCCGGAGCCCCAATCCTGCATGTGGTCCGAGGCCAATCCTGCATAGATACCACACACATAGGGTTGGGGAGAGGGGGTAGAATTAGGGGAGACCTAAGAATCTGCCCCGCCCCAAAAATAGTCCCCTCTGAGAGGCTGAATGGCTGCTGCCTTTTCTCTCCAGATGTCCTTTAAAGGTACATATCTGGGGCTGGGAATGTAGCTCAGCCACACAGTGCCTGCCTGGCAAGCACAAGGCCCTGAGTTCAATTCCCCATACCAAAAAAAAAAAAAAAAAAAAAAA